CTCCCTCCCTCTCTCCCTCCCTCCCTCTCTCCCTCTCTCTCTCTCTCCCAGTGTTGAGGAAAGACCAGAAAAGCTGCTATATAAAAACATTATTGGATCTTCAGACCAAGTCAGAAATCCTGTTAAGAAAAAAATTCTTGAAGAGCTGTTTTTGATCTCCAGAGATCTCCAGACAGCTCAGCTCTCTCTAGAGAAAATTCTAAAGAACTACTATCCCTTACCTCATCTCATGCAGACCAAAAGCTCAGTTTTTAAATTTACATATCAATTTACTTATTTATTCCAGGTTCTCTTTTGATTATCCTATTAATCAGCATCCTGTGACCCCGGCCCTTTGATTCTTAAGAGACAGAAAACATGCATTTTTCTTTTAACATTGCAAAAGAATTCAGAGATCTGCCTGCCTTAGTTAAGCACAGATGACAAGCTAGTTTGGTGGGAAACTGTTGAAATTATTTCCACCACACACCATTTCCATCACGCCTGAGTCTAACCTTGCTCTGTCCCAGGCTGACCATGAACACAGGAACCTGCTTGCCTTTGTATCTTTCTGACAAGCTGGCTTACAGTGTAGCTGCCTCTGTTCATCTAAATTCATGAAACCCCTCATAATTCATATTGAATCCTTGTATTTTTGGATAGTTAAGAAATTATACATTTTCATGTATTTAGAGCTCTTTCCCATAGGCTTAAGGGCTGTCCTGAAGGTTCCAGTGTTTACCTTTTTGCAGAGACAGACACACCCTCGGCTCCTGGACTCTGCTGTTTCTAATTCTCCTGGAGTCATTAATGTTAACAGAGAGGACATTCCTCGGAGGAATGTGAAATATGTACGTTATTATACACACTTGCCTTATGCCCACAGCAGCCATTGACACTCCTGGAGGCTGACAAGGGGGCCCTTTCCCAGGGGTAGGAACCATGTCACTCTGTCCTCACGCTGTGCTCAGCATTGATTATAATCATTAGCGCTTCAAGGAAGAAGTCTAGTGCCTTTTAGGAACAGGTCCTGCCCCAGCAAAGAGTTCTCAGTTCCTTGCTTGTCTGTCCCTGCTCCCAAGGACCCTAGCCCTTGGCTATAGCATCCAGAGTAAATTTGTCAAGGCTCTATAGGCAAAGACCCTTCCACTCCCAATAGGGGCTTTTTTCTTTTTTTTTTTCTTTTTTTGACTCTAAAGCCATCTACCCTGGGGCTCATCTCACCGTCCCCACACAAGAGGATACAGTCTAAGTGTGAGTAGGGGGAGGAACGGGGAAATGGCTAGGATAAATCCTGCTGTGTTGACCTCAAGGGAACTGTGGGGGTGGGGAGTGGGGGAAATGTTACTAGGTCCAGGGAGCTCCGCCAGGTCTGGGAGGGAGGCTATCACTTGAGGGCGGGGCAGGGGCGGGGCAGGGGGGGCAGTGAGGTAATTTCCGTGCTCTGTCGTCAGAGGTCTGAGTCGCCCCAGGGGCAGAATCGAAACTGATCGCTGCTCTAAGTCGATGCTGGTTCACTGGGTAAGTATGGGGTGGTGGCTGGGGACTGGAGGGGCCATCTAGAGAGGTGTGAAGACTACCCCTTTGCCTGCAAATGGGCAAGATCAGTGGCCTCAGACAGACCCTAGCATCGGACAACTCCATGGACCCCTCTTCCTGCTTCTCCAGCTGCCGGGTATGGGGTTCTAGCTCTGACGATTTAGAAACCTCCACAGAAGTGCAGGGAGAGACTGCAGGCTTTGCCTGTTGCTCATTCTTTCTATTAGAACATAATCTTTGTGCCTCAACATTTCCCCTGAAGGTTTAGAGTGCTAGGTATAGGTCAGTAGTAGATTATTTGCCTGGCATGTGTAAAAAGCCTGGGTACCATCCTCAATCCTCAACACTGGAAAGAGAGAGAGAGAGAGAGAGAGAGAGAGAGAGAGAGAGA